CTTTATTATGATTATATAAAAAAACACAAACTTTGTTTGTAGTTAATTTAGCGCGAAATCTAGCGCTTTTTGTGTTGTCCTAGAGCTGAATGAGTTTTTTTTATCTGGCAGCACTGCCCAAAAACCCTCTATTAAGAAGTAACTTTCCTTTCAGTTTTAAGCGCGTTCAGTTCCCAGTTACAGTGAGTGTGTGTTATGCGATGACCGTAAATAAAGCGCAAGGTCAAACTTTACGCGTTGTAGGAGTGTACCTCAGTACTGACTGTTTTGCACATGGCCAACTCTATGTTGCTTTTTCCCGCGTTAGTAGCCCCCGTAACCTTTTTGTGTATACCCCGGCTAAGCCTACTTCTAACGTCGTTTACACAGAAGCTCTATCATAAACGACTTAGAACTTTGATGATAATGATTTATTTTGTTACCACTTATTGATACAGTAATGAAATAAATCGTTTAATATTCTCTTACCTAAACGACAAATTCTTTATGTAAAACCTGTATACGCGAGCTACGCCGCGGGCACAGCTAGTATTAAATAAAATAATTCACATTATTCTTATTTACTTAAAAATGTCTAAAAATTAATTAATAATTGAATAATTCATGAAATATTATGGCAATGGATATGGCAATATATTGGGGAGGCCTATGTTCAGCATTGAACTTTAATAGGTCATAACGAGTAACCCTCCTAGAAGACTGAATTTACATTGTATTCATCCACAAAGCAATAATATTAATTTGGGATAGATGCGATGAAAAACAATTCATTTTTATTATATAATTTATTTATGCATATACTGAAAATGAAGTTGACAAAGTTTAATAATAATGGAAGGGAGCTAACTCGGGTCGCACGCGTACTTTAAAATTTAAAGCCTGACCCCGACCTGCTTTTGCTTCGTGTTCATAGACATAAGGCCGGGTATTTAATTAAGGTACCATGATCATGTTTATGTGTATATTATATTGTTCGATATAATATTATTTTTTTACGGTTTGGTAGCGTAGTTGCTACGTGTTTAGCTGCGGCTCTGCATACCGCGGGCTCGAATCCCGCACGGAAAAAGTATTTGTATGCCCTACATTGTATGTTTGTTCTTACATAATTAATGAAAATCATATGCTTGTAAATTAATACAACAGCATGTATTATATTTGACGTCACCCATAAATATATTTTAATGAATGTACAGTGTCAAAATTGTACCGACGGTAGGCTGTTTAAAGGTAAAAGGGGATTAAATTTACATATTAAACGATGCCATGGTAAAAGTATTTCGGCTTCAAAGCCTACCGTAGAAATTCATAACTCTATTCGTAATTCCTCTAATGACACAAATTTTTCCATTTTTTCGGAGCAAATTTATCATCGTAGTGTACCAGTGGTTAAAAGAATTCCTAGAGGAGCGAGGATGCAGCTTGTTAAAGCATTGTCATGCACTATTCAAAATTGTTTCACAAATAGTGAAAAGAGTTGGCAAGATTATTTACTTTCGCGTATTCCCATTTTCATTTTGATAAAACAATAAATAAATCAATTACGTCTCAACTAAAAGAGACATCTTGTCAAAATTTTGATTACCCAATTAATACTCATTAATTTCGACCACGTCCTAAATTTGATTAAAAAAAATGGTTGAGACGAAAGTAATGTTAATCCAAACTTCATTGTATGTTTATATGGGGCAAGATTATGTGCCTTCCAAAAAAAGGATAACCTGTTGCCATTGGTTACACATTTCGACGTTTAATATACGCATATTTCTCTAGGAATAAAAACTGTCAGTAGGGAATCTCTGTACCTGTTAGGTGCCCCGTTGTTTTTCGATAGTATTAAACCTGTTTTAAAAACAAAATTTGATCAGTTTTAAACCACGTTGATAAATTGTATAAATTAAACCCCCTTATTGTTCTTACTATTTTAAAATATTGTCTCATTGTACCTAGATTAACATACTTACTCCGCTCGAGTCCAGTCTGGAAATGTTCGGATATTTTAAATCATATTGATAATAATATGATTGAGGAACTTAGAAGTACAAAAATTGGTTTTCACATGGGTACAATTTGTCTGAATAATCTCAGCTACGCTGACAACATGGTACTACTGATTCCCTCAATCAGGGGACTTAGAAAGTTATTAGCCATATGCGAGCATTATGCGCGGGATCATGGCCTGAAGTACAATGTTAATAAAACGCAGATAATGGTGTTTCGCTCGGGCAGAGGCCCGGAGAGGATTCTGTTAGCATTTCTGGACGGCGAAGCTGTTGCAAGAGTACCTGGGGCATCCTGACTGAGGATTTGCGTGATAACCTCGATATAGAACGTGAAAGGAGGGCTCTGGCTGTTCGGTGTAATATACTCGCACGTCGGTTTGAGCGGTGCAGTCCCAAGGCAAGGCTGACCCTGTTTAGAGCATATTGTCAATGCTTGTATACTTGTCAGCTTTGGTTGGACAGTACCAAAACTGCACGTAGCATCATTAGAGTGCAGTATAATAATGCATTCCGCATTCTTATGAAACTGTCTAAATACTGCAGTGAGTCAAACATGTTTACCAACGCCGGGGTGCCCGATTACTTCGCCGTTATTAGATTTCGGGTTGCAGCTTTTTGGTCCCGCATCCGTGATTCCGAGAACAATATTCTCAGGGTGTGCTACGAGTGCCCAGAGAATCCCATAATAAAATATTGGCGTGCCGTGCTTCGCGACAATAACTGTAAATAGATAGAACGAACTCCCTTTTGGGGGCAATTTTAGTTTTTATAGTATTAGTCTATGATTACAGTTGAATTGTCTTTTATCTATCTTATTTATCTTATGTATCCTTATAATTATATTTTCGTTTTGTTTTTAACATTTAACATTTATTGATACTTGAAATGGGTGTAAAAAAGCCTGAAATAAATGACTGTTATTATTATTATTAATCTTAAAATAGCTATAGAAAAGATAATTTAACTTTAACTTTTTTATTTATTTTAAATTCAAAATCTTTTATATATTTTAAATTTAACTTTAACAGCCTGGACTTAAGACCTTTACCTATAAAATTTGGTGGTATTGGTGTGAGAAATCTTTCTAGCGTTGCATTGCCTGCTTTCCTTGCTTCCGTGCATAGTATCAGTGATTTATGTAACATAATTTAAAATAATAAGCAGGCATAGGCATAGGCAGACATGGCAAACGCTCTGCCCCGGTGAAAATGTTCAACTGGAAGTTAACCAACAAAAACAGTGGGATATTCCGTTGGTACAGAGCGTGCAGAAAGATTTGTTTCATAATTTCCATAGTGACCAAGATAAGGCACGCCTTCTAGCTGTTTCCACTTAGGCATCTAGTCACTTGTTACACGCTTTACCAGCAAGTAATCTCGGCACATTACTTGATGGGGAGAGCTTGCGCATCGCCGTAGAAATCCGACTAAGAGCGGCGAATTGTTAACCCCATCAGTGCCCCTGTGGTAGCAGCGTCGGCAAGTTTGGGCTCCACAGACTTTCATGTAAGAAAAGTGCTGATAGGTTTTCACGGCACGGTTCTTTGAACAATGTGATCTGAAGGCCTCGTGTCTCTATAAATGTTCCCTCGGTTTTAGAGCCTTGTGGAATATTTAAAGACGATGACAGGAGACCCGACGGTATGACATTGTTCCCTTGGTAGAGAGGTAAAGCCCTAGTGTGGGATGCTACTTGCGTAGACACTCTGGCGGCCTCTCATCTCAGGGGTACCTCGTTAAGAGCCGGGGCGGCATCAGAGGCAGCTGAACTGAGTAAGTGGCACAAATATGAGTCTCTGAGAGATGACTACATATTTGTGGCATTTGCTGTAGAGACTATCAGCCCGTGGGGTCCACGTGCGGTGAAGTTCCTAAAGGAACTCCATCCGCGGTTGGTCGTTGTTGCTGGTGATAAGAGGGCCGGTTCTTTTCTCGCTCAAAGGCTCAGTATAGCCATTGACCGGGGAAACGCAGCTAGCGTTCTTGGTACGATACCGCGGGGAGTAGGAATATATGATATTTAAGTTCGTTTACTAGTTTTCGTTTTGTTTTTTTTTGTAGTTTTTAATATTGAAATAATTAAATTTTTGGTTAAATTTAAACCGTCTATAATGAATGATGATTATTTTTTTTAATTCAAAATGACACAAACATATTTAAGCCTAAATACGTACAGATTTACATTTATTCTTATTCTTATCGACGTTATACTTCATTTAAATGTAAAATGTTTTCTCTAATTTGGATTCACCCATCAACGTGCATTAGAATTGTCACGTAAACAAGTGGGTTTATAGATCACTATACTGATTAAATTTATCTTAAACTAAATGAAATAGATGGTCAAGGTCATCGATCTTGGACGTTTATAAATAAACATATATTATCAAACCTTAAGAGATGTAAAGAGGAGTGAGTCGTATTAAAGGCGTTCAATATTTACACCTCTTGAATTCGAATAAGGACACACAATTCACAGATGAGGTAGTACATTAAAAGAAAGGTTTTGAGGAATGTTAAGAAAGTGTGCAGCTACTTTATACGTGTTCTGTTTACTTTAGGTCTACTACAAAAAGGTATCAATTGTAATTCTTCAGATGGTAGCTAATTTAGATTCATTGGCGATTCTATACGCGAACACTGAGCGAAGAATAAGCAACGGACAGAGGAGGATTAGTTTTTTAGAAACAAGCCTTTTACGTTTGTTTAAAATCAACACTCAGGTTTGGGTACAGAGTGAAATAAAACTGTTTATATTTTTTATACTATGACCGACATTCGCCAATCAGAATTCAAATTTTTGCAATTTTATTTTATTTTCAATGTCATTGTAATTTAATCTTATAACCTCTTAACTTGGAAGAAAGCAGAGGCCTATTAAAATTAATACAGTATGAAATTACCATTGCGACCACTTCAAGAAAAATGAATCGCGATTATTATAAATTTGCCCAATCCGTGCTAATTATAAACGATAATAAAAATCATTACATATAATATGTACGTCAAAATTAATAAAAAAAAACGTGTGGGTGCCGGCGCTCCGGTGTACCTGGCCGCAGTTATGGAGTACCTCGCCACTGAAATTCTAGAGTTGGCCGGTAACGCTGCTCGGGATAATAAGAAGACCAGGATCATACCGAGGCATTTTCAGCTTGCCATCCGCAACGATGAAGACTTGAACAAGCCGCTCTCCGGTGTGACGGTCGCTCAGGGCGGTGTACTATCCAACATTCAGGCGGTCCTTCTGCCCAAGAAGACCGAGAAGATGGCTTAAACGAGTATGTTACTACACCCCCACTAGGCCCAAGAAAACGGCGGTCAATCTCAACGTAGACTAGCGTGTAGCGCAGGAAAAGATTATACTCAAAGTACCTCTCATCGTCCGATGGGGCGGGCATCCGACACAACCGGAGAGCGATCAGCACACCAAGGGCTTTACGTGCTTTCCGAGGCACGGAGGTGAAACACTGCCATTTTCCTGACTCCAGACTGCTACTGACGATACGTAGTACTATTATTTATTCTGTGTTTTTTTTATAGAATAAGGGTGCAAACAAGCACACAGTCCACACAGACCCATTCGTGCTATAACTATACTATTAATATAGCTGCAGCATGGCTCTACCACGTGAATGGCTAGGGTCTCGTTTAACCGATCATGCGGGAAGATCTGTTTATGACTTTGCCTTGGCATATAGAGTCAGACACAAATGGTTACTTCGCCTACGCGGATTCTAGATGTAGAAGATCGTGTACCTTCCTTGTTGAACTTCTGCTGACCTCTCATTCGGACAGATCAATCGAGCATCTCCATCAACGCCCCTCTTAGATCACTGGACCATTGTCCGATCCGGACTATGGTGCCACTAACACTACCATCGCGATTGCGTTCCACAGATCGCCGCCGTGTTTGGCACTATAGGTTGGCTAGTTGGAACAGGATGTGGTCATCTTTTGCATCCTTCCCTTGAGGACAGGGGCGGGTATGCTTCTCGCCGGATGATCCCAACGTGATTCTGTCGCTGATGTGGTACTTCAGGGAATAGAACTCTTTACTCTATCATCTGTGGTGCCTAGTTTGATTGCTCCTGTAAAATTCTGTGCTGACGATTTCTTGATAAATAAACTCAATAACTGATTTTGGGCCGATTCGAGATCTGTACCCGGGACTTCATAATCAGCGTTTACGACCGCTAGACCAATGAGGTAGTCAAAACATATAATACAACAGTAACCTTGCATGTGTTACAAGTGCTCGACTCGACGGTGAAAAAAAAGGAAGTGATTTGAAGGCCATCACGTCGTTCCTTAAAAAAACATATACGTATTCATGTAACTAAAATTTCTAAAATTCCTAACAAATTATCAATTAACAAAGGAATAAAGGGCTACAACAGACAATAAACAAACAACAGACCTACTTCTAAAGTCTAATATAATAAATACGTACACACTTTTAATATTATTGATATTATCATATATTTCCAATTCATTATTGTAAAAAAAACCTTGTCTTTAGGAGTTTAGGAGTTAGGTCTATTCATTCGAAGTGCGAAGTTAGAGAAGAGTATTGCAAGTATAAATACCTAATATGCACAACAAGGTATTGGCTTGAATAATAAAGATGTTCTCTTAACCGCATTGTTACAAGTACAGGCAAATCGGTGAAAACACAGACTACTGTAGTAGTACGTAAAAGTAAAAACACTTTCTATAGTAGCAGTGCTCGATTTTTAAGAGATAAAGCCACATTCCATAGCGATGGCATTTTTATTATTACTCAGAAGTTTATCTATAAAGTGTAAAAAAATATGAAAACGATTTGGTAATAGTTTTAGAAATTAATATGCGTAAGCACTATGGGATCATGCAGATAATATATTGTATAGTAGATGATTTTGGAATGCTTGCCACAGTAAAAAAAATCAATATATAATATATATTATTTTTTTTACTGTATACACACACATGTTATATATATATATATAAAAATATACTATGTGTGTGTGTGTGTGTGTGTGTGTGTACCTTTTTACTGGAAACGAGACATTTCATCTTACTCCTCAGAGCTATTATGTTTTGTTTTGTGTTGTTAACAGGAAGAAAGAAAGGAAAAATAAAGCTCTCACAGAATATATGCATAAAAAGCAGCTTAATGCTGATGTTTTTCCTATGTTGAATGTAGAGAACCGGAGATCTTCTATACTGGAAACGAGGCATTTAATCTTCGTCTTCAGAGGTGACAGCGCATCTGCGTTTTGATTCTTAATCAAAGAAAAATTTAGATGTTTCTGAGCCTCAGCATCTATTTACCATCAGTGGCACTGTGCTCTCGTTTGTCAACCTTATTCTATAAATAAAAGTAGTTTTTTTATGTTGCAAAATTAATTGACAATTTTTTTTTCAGTTGTATTGCTGCCAGACCCGTATTGCATAACTTTTAATTGGGTATTAAAATGAATGAAACACTTAAATTTACACTTTAAACTTAAGCAAAATAAGCAAAAACTTTAACAGGCAATATAAAAATGCATACCTGTGAATCCTGTTGACTTTTATAGCAATTTATGGATCTTGTATTTGCGACAAGTAGGTTATAAAAACACGTTGTAACGGCATGAATTTTGCTTAATACTTACGATTAGAAACCAGTTGACCATCACACCTGTGACTTGAGAAACATTTTTTGGTTCATAAAAATACATATTACCTGTCAAATTTCTAATTTATAATTTAAAATAACAATGTTGAATCCTATATTTTTAATTTATTTTGTGATCAGTGATAGAAAGAAAGAGTTTTTTAGGGTTCCGTACCTCAAAAGGAAAAAACGTAACCCTTATAGGATCACTTTGTTGTCCGTCTGTCTGTCTATTTGTCTGTCAAGACTAGTGTTGCCCAAAATCGGTCTTGGTCTTGCAGTCTTGGTCTTGTTCTTGCATTTTTGCAAGACCAAGACCAAGAAAAAGACCGCCTAATTTTAGCAAGACTAAGACCAAGACTGACCGTGCAAGATTTGAGCAAGAACAAGACTAAGCCTGCGAGACTCTTGCGTCTTGCAGTTAGGAATGAGTGTCGTTTCAGGGAGTATAGGAGTTCGGGTATACGCTTAGGGTGTCTATGAGACGCAAAAAATATATAAACAAATTTGGAAAATTGGACTTATGCGCATTACGAACAATACCATAAACATACATAGCGGATGAAAATATCCATTAAAAGAAAAAACAGTGCATCCCTAGTTTTAACCATCGGCACTTTGATAGTGCGCGGCGTCTTGTTGTCGGCATCATCAAAGGTCGAATACTGACCTGTCAAAGAAATTTTGCAGCTATTCGGAAGTACAAGGTCAAGATACACGCGCCGGCGGCTTCTATTGATATCGCATTCAATCGTCGCCGCCACGCCGCACGCACTACATTTGACACTGTTTGAATGCCGCCACAAAGTACATGTTCCAAAGAATAAAATAAGTTTCCGGGTGCTCAGAATGGACACGAATACATTATGCTGATCTCGCAAGGAATATTGTAATTAGATAATGGTAAGGATAGGTAGATACCATAATAATTTATTCTAGTAAGTAATTATTATAATATTAACTATATGGGTTTATAATAATTACTTACTATTATTATTATTACCTAATAGATAAACATGTTCAATAAGTTCACTGCAAATCTCGATTTTTGTAAGTGTGTGTTTTTAAACACAAAGTGTTCGAATATGTGTGACGATCATTTGATAAATATTGCAGACACTTTTAACACACTTGAAACGTGTAAACATTTTGTACAATGCTAATCGAATAATATAAAAAGTGTGCATATTAAATAAAAAGCGTAAAATAAGATCTATGTACTTTTTAGGAGCCAGAGTATCTCTTAGAGAACCGTTTAAAGAAATTGATTGCATCGAATTGATGTAAATAATAGTGAATTGCACAATTTTAATAGTATAAATAAAAATAAAATCACAATACCTGCTTTCCGGTTACACAAAGTATATAATGCGTTCTTGGGTAGCGATATACGCTTTTATAATAAGATTCCAAAAGAAATGTTAGATCTTTCACCTTTTCAATTTAAGTCAGACAAAAATGCTTGGAACAGACCTCTCGTACTACACAGGACTAACTAGAAATTTCTAAACCGATTTGGTATCTACACATATATTTGACATTTTATGTTTGACTTATCGCTTTACATAATTATAGTACTATTGTAAAAATATTTTGAAAAGAGCAACTACTGAGTTTCTTACTTTCTTCCATGATTCTTCTTAGTAGAATCAGAACCCCTGGACATGGAAAAGAAAAAATTGGAGAAAACAGTGATTATATGACTATTCAAAAGTGTATTTTTAATGCCTACTTGAATAAAACATATTTGAATTTTGAATTTCAAACGAGTGAAGGCAAATTTAATGTAATTAACGTAGATTAATTCAATCACAAGAAGAACATAATATACACAATTTTATTTACATATTTACATTTCATTTTTACGTAGGCACACTATACCTATCTGGCAACGCATCTACTTTATTAATCTTCTGAAGAATCGTTATTTTTATCAAAGAATGCCGAACTTTCCTTTGTCGGTCTTTCGGCGTGTACTTACAAATAGTAGTATTTATGTTAATTCCAGTCATTCCCAATTGAGCTTTGCTTCGAGTCTAATGTATTAATTGGTTTTACTCTAATCCTTGTTGTTCTCGGAGTGATAAGTTTACAATTTGACATGAGTGACGAAGAGTCGAATAGTTCTAGTCGAAGTAGTGAGAGTTGGAGTTATAGATCTAAAAGACCTAAAAGCAAATTTGATGAGTTTTTCGACATAATTCATGCATCCCAAATTGCTTTGTGTAAATTATGCCAACATAAAAAGGTTGAAATAAAAATGAAAAACGGAAACACTTCAGGCTTAAGGGAGCATCTAATATCTTTCCACAAAAAGGAATCACAAATATTTCTTCCTGAAAAACCAAAATTAAGTGGAGATATAACAAGCTTTTTAATAACCACCGGAAAAAGTGGACAGGTAAGAAAAAATATACTTATCACACAATTACATAAAACATATATTATGTAACTAGCGGCCGCCCGCGACTTCGTCCGCGTACAATATCTGACTTCCTATGAGATTTTGAAATTTTCCCGCTGCAAAAGTCTTACCTAAGTATAAAGAGGCTATATAGGTAAAGCTTAACTATGCAAGTATTTATTATTTAAAACTAATAAAGTAAATGTCGATCTTCATATCTATACTTTAA